AATAATATCAAATATATATATACAAAACAAAGTATATATATATATATATATATATATATGTAAATGATACGGATATTATTAAACATGATAATAAAATTTAAAATATTTCGTTTGGAATTGATTTTAGAGTATAATATATTTTATATTATATGTAGAAAAATATTCAACAATGAATGATATGTGTTTTCCTTTTATTTTCAATCATCTTTTAATTTTAAAGATGGAAAGATTACATGAAAGTGAACACGCAGCTTCGAAATTAATGTGGAATATATTCTTTACAGCAACTGCTCTAACATCAATTGGTATGCTCTTTTCTTCAACATGTCATATAATTTTAGAAATTATTGAAATAATAGTTTGATAAGATTTTTATTAGGAAAATTGAAATTTCATTACCGTAATAATAGGTCGGTATTAAGAAATCGAATAATTTAATGGAAGATTTATTAAATAATAATTATTTTCAGGATACGGTAGCACTGTTTCGGATTCATTTTTTGCCCGTTTATTTACCATTGTTTATATATTTATTGGTATTCCATTATTTCTCATTACAATTGCCGACTTAGTAAGTATTTCGTTATTTCAGTATTAAATATTTCCTTTAAAGTATTTCTTAACTGATCATGCAAGTATTTCAGTATTTCTTTATTTAAGCTTACATAACATATCATTTCAAATAATGGATATCAAATTAAAATTTAATATCTTTACAAATTATTATTCCGATCGTAAGTGATCATAGAAGAATTATTTGAGATACAAACGATTAAATTATCAACAATTTGCAGTCATATCAATTGCTCTAAGATATCAATCGATTACTTTCAGGCCAAATTTTTTACCGAATTTCTTAATCGATCATATGCAGAAGTGCTAAAGTATAAAGTTATTACAAGTCGTAAACTGAAAAATCGTTTTGAAGTGCCAATCGATGAAATTATCATTTCTGGTGGCGATGATGAAGTATCATAGCTTATTTTGAAGCAACAATCATTTCAAATTACATAATTATATTCTGGAAAATAATCATTAATTAGGAATTAATTAGCAGAATTTGATTTTTTTTTTCATTATCCATTGAAAAATTTCGAAAAAATTTCAATAGTTATTAATTAGAAATCATTAATCAGGAATTAATTAGCAAAATTTGAATTTTTTTTTATTATCTATTGAAATATTTTAAAAAAATTTCAATAATTATTAATTAAAAAATGAAATATTTTCTTTTACAGGTAGCAGAATTTTTATGGACTCATTTAGAAGTTTTCTTTTACAGGTAGCCGAATTTTTATGGACTCACTTAGAGGATGCGCATTTTGTTGAAGTACCTTTTATTGTAATTTACATTTTGCTATTTGCATATTTAATAGCTTCAAGTTACCTCATTTCATGGATTGAAGGATGGAACATTTTTGATGGCTTTTATTTTGTTATAATATCAATGCTCACAATTGGTTTTGGAGGTTATTTGCATTTTTCAACTTTTCGATGCTTTTGTTTTAATTTTTAAAAAATGAGTATATTTTGCTAAAAAGTAAAAATTTTAATTGAAATTAATTTCACAAAAATTTTTAATTTTTAAACAATGAAAAATGTTGAAATGACCCGATTCAATCAATTAATTAATTAATTAATTAGCAAATTTGTCTGTTGTTAAAATTTTTTCAATGATAATTTATATATTCAAAAAAAAAGAATGAATATTATCAACAAACATTTTGATAATGTTATAAAATGATTTCAGATTTAGTACCTCGAAATCAATCATTCATATTGCTCACATTATTGATAATAATATTAGGATTGATCTTAGCTACATCATTTGTTGATGTAATTGGCACCTATTACATTGATCGATTGCACTTCTTTGGACGTAGTCTTGATCTTGAAGTAACAAATTTTTTCCACTAATTTTTGAAGTTTCGCAAATAGCAAATATCCAAGCTATGAAGAAGAAACAATTAAGAGAAGAGTTTTTGAGTGTAACATAATAGATATTATACTGTTCTGATATGTGAAGTTTAAGAAAATATCTAATGGATAAGAAGTGACTTTCCAGAATTCGCTTGAATGGCTTAAAAAGGTGCAACAACAACGTTTGATCGCAATGAAACGTGAAGCGATGCGTAAATTATTCGAAACCGTCGCATCACTAAAAAACATGGAAATTAGTAGGAATTTCGCGAAATAACTAATTGAAATTTCTCATTAACTAAATAACTCATAAACTGCTAATAGCTTTACGATTAATAGTTACTTACCATTGATCCCGGGATATTTTGATAGAATGTAAAGTGACAGGGAGGAATTTGCCCGATCGTATCTCTAAAAAATATGAAAATTAGTAGGAATTTCTCGAAATAACTATTTGAAATTTATCATTAACTAAATAACTCATAAACTATTATTGATTTTACGATTAATAATTACCACTGATCCGGGGATGTTTTGATGAAATATGAAATGAAAAGGAGAAATGCTACTTTGCAAACTTTGCTCTCTAAGCTATTTACATTTTATTCTATGTTGTGAATTCTTTTCATTGTTATTTATAATAATTTCTAATTGGAAAAAATATTTGCAGATTTTCAATTACGTCAAAATCGAGCCGAACTAATGAACAGCAGCGCATTGTTGATGAGTAAATTACATTGATCTATTTATTTTATCTGATAAATTCACTAATATTCCAAATTAGAATCGAATTATTTTATTAAACAAAATTAATTAGTGAATGAATTCATTTATTTAATATGATAAATGCACTGATATTCCAAATTAGAATAAAGAAAGGTATTTTATTGAAAAAAGAAATTAATGAATGGATTTATTTTATCTGATAAATTCACTAATATTCTAAATTAGAATAGAATTATTTTATTAAACAAAATTAATTAATGAATGGATTCATTTATTTTATATGATAAATTTACCGATATTCCAAAATAGAATAAAGGTATTTTATTGAAAAAATAAATTAGTGAATGGACTTATTTATTTCATATGATAAATTTACTAATATTTGCAAAATACATTGAAATAGTTAAATTTCAAAAAAATGTTATACCTTTCTGATAAATTATAATTTCTTATCTTATTTAGTTTTAATTATTTATAAAAATTTAATTTCAATTTACTTATTACTTATTAGCATGAGTAAAAGTTAAAGAGGAAATTGTGGAAAATAATAGAAACAAGTATATGTTTTAAAATTACTTATTATTTTATGCATAGTTAATTTCTTACATTACTTAATTTGCTTCTTCTATTTTCTTTCCTTCTCTCTCTCTCTCTCTTTGACTCTCATTTATATATTTTTAGGTCCACCTCATCCGCCACGAAATTTAAGAGCAATAAATTCAACAGCAAATTCAATAGTTCTTACATGGGATCCTCCATCAGATGATAATGAAGGAAAACGTTTTTGGTATACGGTAGCATATCAAAAAAGGTTAGTGTTTCTTTCCTTCTTTTTGTTTCTTCTTATTTATTGCAAAATTTTCCGGTATTTCTTATTTTTGGTACTTCGTTTTTTGGTACCATTTTTTGGTACCATATTTTTATACTATTATTTGTATAAGAAATTTGAAAATAAATAAACAATTTGAATTAATGCAGGACACCACGAAAACAAAGTAATCCGGCAACAATAATTGAATTTGTCAACAGTGAACAATATTTGATTACCGGTTTACGTTCCTTCACACTTTATAGTTTTTCGGTTGCAACAACAACCAGAGCAGGAAGTAGCAAACCAATTAAATGCTATGAATATACTGGTAAATCTTGTAAAATCTCTTTTTTTTAATCATGATTTTTTCATATTATAACTTTTTTTAATCATAATTTTTTCATATTATAATTTGAAATCGTTTAATTTTGATATCAGAATTGGTGAATTGCTCATTTTGTGATAATTGTTGAAAATAATTATCAATGATTGGATAGATTAGTTATATTGAAAAATAACATGATGATTTTCAATTTATTCATTTCCCTTTATTTCAGTTCAATTTCAAATCATTTTGAAATTTTATTAAAATTTATTTTAGAACCATGCACTGTTCCACAATCACTATCATTGGAAGCATTAGGCTGTGAAGCGGCAACATTTATCTGGGAATCGCCACATAAAAATATCGCACCTGAGGTAAAATTGCTAATTAATTAGCACAAATTTTATAATTTAATATTAATTATGAAAGGAAAGATGAAAAATAAAATGCAATCAGATACAGGCTTAAGATGATTTACGTTGATCACTTATTAATTATGGTACTTCACAAAAGTTTGCTCATTAAGATAATTTACCTTGATCATTTATTAATTATGGTACTTCACAAAAGTTTGCTCATTAAGATGATTTACCTTTATTATTTGATCAATATCATTCAAAAATATATGCGTATAATTGATAAACTAAAAATTGAATGCTTAATTTCATATAATTAATATCTTTTAGAATTATGTACTTCTACTCAGTCAAGATCCAGCACCACATTTTTCTTCTTGGCAATCTTACAGTTGTGGTAAAAATAAAAGTTTTACAGTAACTGAACTTTTACCAAATACCAGGTACAAGTTTAATAATCTATCATTTTGATTATATGAATGATTAAAATCTGAAATAAATAATTTATAAGGAATTTTTTTTTCTTAATGAAATAAACAGACTAAATGTGATCATTGATTTTCTAGCAAAGATATGAAGAAAATTAAGGGAGAAATTGATAGAAATTGATAAATTGATAAAATAAATTAAATTGATAAAAAATAAGCTGATAAAATGATCGAAATTGATAAATTGATAAAAATTGGTTTATGAAAAATGCTCAAAATGCTTTTAATATTTAATGATTTAATAATGTAATGTGTAAGTAAGCTAACGATGAGATTATTATTATTGTAATTATAATTTTAACAAAATATTTCAATCAATTTTTTTAGATTTCTTTAAATTCAAAAATTTGAATATTAATTACTTAATTGTTAATTATTCGATAATTGATAAATAATAATTGATAATTTCAATAATTACATCATTTGCTAAAATTTCATTTTTATTTTTGTTTAGGTACGTAGCATGTGTTACAGCAGAACACAATCTTGGTTTTGCAGCAATGTCGAAAAATTTACGATTTAAAACAAAGAAGCATTGGTTTAGCGATGATGCCATTTGTCATTCATCAAGCAATTCGAAGATGCCTTTTGGATCACTTTAGATAATAATAATCTTTCGTTACAATGATACTCTTAACCTCATCTGTTAATTAATTTCCGAAATTATAAATAGTTGTAGTTGTATATGATTGTTTATCCATTTTACATGCTATAGTATCTTTTTCAAAAAATTTTTTAAAATCATCCTATTTATAATTATACATAATTCAAATTGACTGCGAAAGAATTCAATAAATAATTTAAATTTGAAATATTTTGAATTTAAAATCTTTTGAATACTAAAATTAAAATTTTTCAATTTAGAGTACTTTCCTTTTTTTTTTCGTTAATTAATTCTTAAATGAAATTTTCAACGCTACTCTATCGTACAGATCACGAAAATTCCATTTTTAAATTGCTCAATTAGTAAAATTAATTTTTTACTTTTGTTCAATCTAATTAATCTATCTCGAAAGTATCATTGCGAATATTTGACGCAAATATTTGTACTAATTTGAATAATTAATTTACATTTAAAAAAAAATTTTTTTAATATAATATATGTTGAATTGATAAATAGCTTAGTGATTATCTTACGTAAATTTAATGCCGGTTGCATTGATGCAATATTTTCTACAAAAATTACGCAATCATTTTTATGCACTTATTTATGATCAGGTATTTGCTGAAAATTTTTTCTCAATTTTAAATTGCCAATAATTTAGCCAATCGATTTATTTGGCTTACGTGTTAATATATGCAAGAGGTCAAAGTTGAAGAAAATATAGCTTACAAAAAATATAATTATTCATCTGAATATCATCATATGTAGTAAATGATTTTATTTCAAATAAATTCGGTAAACATTTGCATTGGATCATCTGAATGATTCATAATTTTCTATAAATAAATTGAAAAATATACGAAAGTAAAAGAAAGCAAAAGTTGTCAGCAAAAATTTCACGAAATTGACGGTTAAACTATTTGATTCAGTAGTACAGAAATTTCCGGGAAACCGGTATCTGGTAATATCGAAATTTAATTCTAGTAAAATCGTAAAACCTGAATAATGGAAAAAATATATTATTTCAAACATTTCAGTGGCATATATCAGCAAGAATCTTACATTATTTGCATGAGAAATCAGGAGCAGATGAACGCTATTTAGCAATATTCATCATTTCCGGTATTTCAATCTATCTGATTATCGGTGATAATGCACGATTTGTTGCTAATACAATTCTTACTGCAGTACCAATCTTGCTCACTTATGTTTATCCGGATGAGAGACCACCATTCAATAATCTTTTATATTACTGGTGAGCAACACGACGATCGCTGCTATCAATCTACAATTCACAGCTCTTGTAAATAATTCAATATTTGCATAGAATCATTTATAATTTTCACTATCATCTTTGATGCTTAAACTTTGAAATATCGCAAATGATCAAAGGAATTCAATTTATCATTTTCATTTCTTTGATATCATTCAAAGTATTTATATTCCTTTCACATTATTTCATTTCATTCCATTCATCAGCTAATTTTTCTAATCCTTTCTGTCATTAATTAATATTGTTTGTCTTCTTTAATCTTACAAAACTTATCCTTTACGAATTCATTTTTAATTTTCTTTCAATCACAAGAAATTCTTAATTTATGATTTCAGGTCTACATATGTTATTGTAACATTGTTTTTCGATCCAGAACTAGAAAATAAGGGGAGTTACTATTGGATGAAAATGTTTCTTCTAATACTCTTAATAGCATTTCCTGGAGAAACTGATAAGACGGTATCAAAAGAACATGTTCGTATTTATAGCTTAAGCTAATTATGCAAAATATAAAACAATGGTGTTATTTTTATACCGCTTTTTTTCACAATAATATATACTTAGTATTTGCAATTATGTTATTAATTTTGTATGACTTGTGTCATCATTAGAAATGATGACACAAGTCTTCCAATTTAACAGTTTGGCATAATGTTTGCCTCATGTCTCACTTTATCAAGTCTAAACTCATATATCATTTTATCATATCTCATTTTATTAAGTCTAATTTCATATCTCATTTATCAAGTCTAAACTCATACATCATTCTATTATGTCTCATTTTATCAAGTCTAATTTCATATCTCATCCTCTCATATCTTATTTTATCAAGCCTAAGCATTAATCATTTAAATATATTCAAAGTTAAAAATTAAATGTGAATTTGAACGAGTAAAGTTAAAATCTGAATGTGAATTTGAAAGCTGATAATTATAGATTCTGTCTGTGAAATCGAATCAAATTTTGTCTGAAAAACACGAAATTTCTACGCTTGCTCTTCAAATGAAACCGGAATTGGTTCCCGGAACAGAATCTTCAATTACTTCGACAAGTGATTCTTTAATTGTTCCTGATAATAAGCTCAATGTTTTCGTAGAGAAATCCCAAACTGCTTTACCAGTGAATTCCGAGTCAACAACAGAAAGGAAATATCAATTCATTCAACCATCGGAAAAATCGCAAATGTTTCCAGAAGAGAAATTTTTAGAAAGTTTTATTATAAAACCTGAAATTATTTCTACACAAGAACTTCCAAGTGCTTCTCAAATATTGCCTCCAGATAAATTAAAGATTAAAGAGATACCTCAATTTACACCAATGAAGACTTCTCAGCCTGCTCCTGAGGAATTGGATAAGACAATTTTTATGAAGGAATCAAAAGTGCTTTCCGAAAGGAAGCTTCAGCCTACATGTTCTACAAAATTTGATATCACGTATACGAAGATTCCACGGGCTCTCCATAAAAATGATTCGCAAGTTATCTTAAGAAATGAATCTCAAATCCGAAAAATTCAGCTTCCTTCTTCAAGAAAATCTGAAACTACATATTTCAAGATTGTCCAGACTACTAATAAAAAAGGAACAGAGGAATTGTCGGATGCCTTACCAAATGAATCAATGGCACTTCCCGTTAAGAAAAATCAAATTCATTTGGAAGAATCTGAGAGCACTACAAAGAAGGAATCGAAGATTAGCTCTGGTTCGAATAAAGAAATTCAGGTTAATTCTATTAAGGAATCTGAATTTTTTCATTTAAAACAGTTGAAAATTTCTACCAAAAAATAATTTAAGGTCTTGAGTAATAAAGTTGAAATATTTCTGTTAAAAAAAATAGATTATTTTCGTGAAAAAAATAATAGATTATTTTTGCAGGAAATTTTGCAAGTTGTTTTCAAATTAATTAAATTTAAGAATAGTCCAGAAAGTTCCGAATGATATCTATCTGTAAAAATTTATCATAAACGAAACAAAATTTCTTTAAACGAAAAGTTTCAACTCTTTTGCAGGAACTTCGAAATATCCCTATGAGATTTGAAAGTATTTTTACTGACATATCAAAAATTATTTCTACAAATGAAATTCCATTTACACCATTAAAGGTTTTTACCGCCGTTCCCACTGAAAAATTTCATAATGTCTCGGGTAGAATCTCATGTTGCTTCAAAAGCATGAATTAAGAATGGTTTCGGTACAAAAATCGGCATGTTTTTCCTGCAGAAAAATTGCAAGATCTTGAGAAGTTTCCGTAAAGGAAGATCAGATTTTGCATGAAAAGGAGTCCGAAATTCCTTCAACATTGAAGGCTGAATCGGTAGATTCAACAAAATCCTTCTGCTGTGAAACTTTAAGTTTCTTCTTTAAAGGAACCTGATATCGTCACTGCGACAGAAATTCAAGTTAATCATGCAAAGGAAATAACTAATATACCTGAGAAGCAACCGTTGACCATTTCCGATACAACCATTGATTCCAAAAAAAATGACGAAACTAAGACAAAGATTTTTCACGATATTTCTGAAGAGAAAAAATCATTCGATGCTATCACGTGGGTTGCTACTGGAAAAACTGTTGTTCGAACACAAAATGTGCAAACTGAAGAGGTTGGTCTATTACAAATTTCCAATTGAATTCATAGATTTCTGAAATTTCATGAGATTTCTATCTTATAAGAGTTGAAAAATTTCAGCAGTGTAAAACTTGATACTTGACTGTATTGTTCAGTAACAGATTAAAGGAATTTTGTAACAAATAAAAAATTTGAATTCAGAGAATTGGAATGTAGGATGAATTAATTAGAATAGACTGAGTAAAATTAATTTTTCAACAAAATTTCACATTGTGGATCTGATAACAATTAGTGGAAGTATTATGGCTGCAAGCTTTCCTTATTAATACCATGATAATCAGGCCTAGTAAGTGAGCAATTAAAATTTAAGGCTTTCTAAAAATTATTCAAACCAAATTTCATTCAACATTTCTAATTGTATTTTCAGCTTAACAAATAACAATGAGACAATTAAAAAATATTTAATGTTTCATGTTATATATTCATATGTTAAATAAATCATTCTCATTTCTTCAAATAATAAAACAATCAAATGTCCCTAAATGACAGCAACTTATCATTGAAAAAAGCTCGCATCGTATTCCAAAATGTATTTGTGCGCAGAAATGTTGCTTAATTATCAAAAACAACCCTCTTTAACCCGTTTGTTAATTAAGTGTTTATTGATATGATATAAAAACATTCCTCTTTAATCCACTTGTTGATTAAATATTTATGGATATGATATCAAAACATTCCCCTTTAAGCCCACTTGTTGGTTAAGTATTTATTGGTATGAAATAGCATTTTTCCATTTTCCCTTAATTTAAAACTATATATTGGCAAGTTATAAAACTTTTAAATTTAATGCATTATCAAATTTTCACAATATATATCATTTGAGAAGGTAAAATAGCTGTCACATAAGAAATAACTGTCACGTAAGAAATGGCTGTCACATAAGAAATAACTGCCACGTAAGAAATAACTGTCACGTAAGAAATAGCTGTCACATAAAAATAAATAGTAAAATAATGAGAAAAAGAAATAGTTTAGAAGAAAAAAAAATTATTTTATATTTTTGTAACTTCAAAAATTTAAATTTCGAATAAAAATTTGATAATTATGTAAATTATCTTTTGTTGCAGTATACATACAAACATATAACAATCTTTCGATCGGATCGGTCGATATAAATAGCATAAAAAATGAAAAGTTTATTATTTCATTATCATTTTTGTTAACACACGAATGACAGATACAAATAATTCAGACGAATTATATAATCATTTAAGATCACTTGTTTTTGATCAGGTTTTGATAATTCATTATTGATGAAATATATTAAATAAATAAATAAATCAAATATTATTTTCTTATATCGAATATTGTCTGATCGATTTAGAATGATCATGTCTGACAGATAGCAATTAATCGATAACAAAAATAATAATTATTCACTAATAAGGACGACTAATAAGTATGAATATTATTCACTAATAAGTATGACTAATAAGTATGAGTATTATTCACTAATAAGTATGACTAATAAGTATGGATATTATTCATTAGTAAGTATGAATAATTATTCACTAATGAGTAAAACAATAATTATTCGCTAATAAGTCTGATAGATAGGAATTAATCGATAACAAAAACAATAATTATTAACTAATAAGTATGATTGCGAAACTGTTAGAAATTATGATTGCCGATTGAAATTGTTAATTTCAAATTATAATTAGTTAATTATAAACTGTTATATATAAACTGCCAATTAGATAATGAATAGTTAATTATAAACTGTTAATTATACAAAGAGTTATTTTGTTTAGGAGATGCAATTTGTTAGAATAAAAAATTGAAAATTATAAATGATAAACGTATGAACTGAACTAATTGCATCTTTTCTTTTAAATTAAAATTACAGAAATATATGACAGCTCGAGGATTACGTGTTTTACGTGAAAAGACGGGTTTAGATGAGTTTAATTTGGCAGTTATTATTGGTGCTATCACATCCATATACTTGATAATGGGAAAAGATGCGCAAATATTAGCAAATGCAATTCTTACGATGACACCAATCTTACTTACTTATATTTTTCCGGCCGAAAAACCACCCATACCACAACTTCTTATATATTGGTATAATTCTTTGTTATTAAAATGCATCAATTTTATAGCACAATTAATTTTAAGATTGAAATTTTGGAAATTCTTTTAAAAGACCGAAAATAATGATAAAACATTTAATAGAGATAAATAGCGCTTAGCGCATTTATCATTCTTATCATTACACATTACTTATCTTCTTCCTTCATCTTTAGTATCTAATTTAAATCTTTTTTCACTCTTCATTGTTAATATTTCATAATTTATCATTTAATCTAATGTTAATGATCTAATGATCTAATGCTAATAATTATGATCTAATATTAAGTCTAATCTGAGTCAGATCATCCGATTAGATCCATTAACATTCGGTTATATGGGTTATGAAAATATTACACAGGTTATTATGGGTCAGGTTGATACTGCAAAAATTTTTGAATAAGTATTAAAATAGTGATCTAAAGATCTAATGTTATTAGTCTAATCTGATTCAGCTCATTCGATTAGATCCATTAACAATCGGTTATATAGGTTAAGAAAATATTGCGTAGGTTATTATGGGTCAGGTTGATACTGTAAAAATTTTTTGAATAAATATTAAAATAGTTTCATTCTGATTGGTTGAAGATCAAATTTATTTCTTGTTTTGTTTTAAATGATAATAAAATTTTTAGGAGCGCATTTGGTCTATTAACCGTATTAGATCCTAATTTCGAACCAAAAAGTGGTTATTATTTTATTAAAGTAGTATTACTTGCACTTCTTTTCTTGCATCCATTTGATGGCGCTGATCGAATTCTTTGGTATATTCGATTAGCTCATAGCGATAAAATTAAAGATGAGGTTTGACGACATCTTACTTACTTTGATAAATTAATTTTTAAATTGATATTTTATGCTCATCAATTTTCTGCTTCGTTTATCTGATATCTAATTAGTACAATTTAATTAATAATACATTCGGGAAGACTTTCATTGTTTAGTTGCAATGTCTGTAAAAAAATTTACTTTCATAATTTCTATTTACTCTGAGTTTTTTCTTCATCGCTTCTCTCCACTTTTTCCACATATTTCCTTTCTTAAAAAGATTGGAAGTGTCAAAAGTAATAGAAATATAATTTGAAATGACATTTAAAAATTGAAACTTGCAGCCAGCTATAACTCCATTTACCAAAGAAGAACTATCAGAAATGCTGAAGAACATGAATAGACAATTGTCGCCAGTTGAAGTAACTTTCCTCTAAAATCCCATGAGATATTTTATAATGTTATAGGATAAATATCACTATCAAACATTCTTGAATTTAAGAGTTGGAACCAATTAATGATTAATAACCTTTGACCTTCAGCAATCAATGCAAGTGCTCCCTTAGCCAAATCTCATAATTTATTTCATACCTTGGCCTATACCTTGCATTCCTATCCTAAGAGCTTCATGAAAGATATTTAATGCTAAAAACTGATTATCAATTAAGATATTTAAATGTGAACAATACTGAAATGTACGATAATCTACCAAAAGAGACAAGTCATCTGATTTCCCGATCGATAGATCAATAAGTGATTTGAATAAATTATTGAGAAACTTTTCTTCACAATACTTTTGCTACTGTTCGAAAATTACAAGTTGTCATGTACGTTTGATAGATGACAGGTATGCTTTTAATTTGAACGCCTTTTAGATGACGAACTTAAAGGACACAACATCTCAAGCGGTGCCAAGCGACCATTCTTCTTCGTATGAAAGCGGTATTTCTTACCTTTTTTTTGAATTTAAATAAGTGTTAATTGGAAAGTAATTATTGCCAAAAACAATATATTAAATTTAACTCAAAATTTAACTCTCTTTTTTTTAGTTTCAGAAGGCAAGAATCAAATGTTATCTGATCCCGAGTTCAGAATTCAAGATCAAGAGGTTACAAGTGCAGAAAGTTTAAGTGTGAATTATAGTCCGCATGATTTAGCATTTGAGCCAGCAAAATATTTAGTTGGTTTAAATTAATTTAAGCAACCAATTTTTTGCTATTTTCAATTTCAATTCAAAAAATCAATTTTTAACTAAATTATGAAGCATATTGGAAATGTCAAAAAGAATATTTCAGATCCGAATGATTTTGAATCTCAGAAATCAAAAAAAATTACCAATCCTCTTTGGATGCTACAAATCTGATCATTTCTAGATTTTTAATGCTCCATATGATTTCGAAAATCTGACATATTTCATACGAATTCATAATACATCAACGAAATATATTGCATATGCGATTAAAAGTAATGCGGTACCACGTGTTTTTGCAACACCGCCATGCGGTATTTTACCACCAAAACAAAAATGCGATATTGCAGTTACCGTTAAGGTGATAATAACATTATAACACAAGTTTGATAAGAGATTTAATCATATCATCTGCAGAAATTAATCGATAAACCTGCCCTACAATATATCTTTATTGAAGTATTAGCTACAAATACGCTATTTTTAAAGAAATGTTTAGGGAAAACCTTATTATAATCTTTTGCAGAAAATGGATAAATTTATTGAACAATTAGTTCAAAACGATCGGCTTGCATTTGACTATGTATTCTGCCCACCTGAAACAAAACGATTTAAATTCAAACTGTTACAGGTTTATATTTCACTCATGAGATCTCATATAACGACCATTTAATTTGCTTATATAAAGGAAGGTCTAGCTTCAAAAATGATAGCCTCTCATAGAATTGTACTTCTTAAGAAGGAATTTCTTGATATACTGAGACATATAACGCGGGATAATGGGATCTGAAATGAAACTTCCACCACTATGGAGAAAATGAATGCGATAGACTCTTGGATTTCTCTTTTAATTTTCGCCACTTTGTGCTTACTAAATATTTTAGTTATGTTTATTTCAGACTGAAATGCGACGAAGGAAAAACATTTACATCAAATATAATCCATAACTACCAAACAATTGAAAATATTCAAACAGACATGCATTCAAACATGCATTATTTTATAAAGCAAACATTCCCGTTATAACAATTCGAAACAAATATTTTGAAAATATTTTGATATAATGGCTTCATCGAATTGTTCATTTGGATAAAAATTTTGTGATTAGCATTAAAGCTTTAAAAATTCGATCTTCTGACTAACAGCTCAATCAGAAGAATTAAATTTAAACAACTAACGTTAATTAATGAGAAATTAAAATGGATTGCATCTTACAACAAGTATTACAAGTTCCTTTTAAGACGCTCATATATTCGGAGTGAATAATCATCTAAAGAAATATTTAGAAAGGAATAGTGTACAATGGATCAAATACAAGCACATTTAGTTTGTGATATCTGGAGTGGCACTTCACCGATTCCATAGAAGGAAATTTATCGACTTAAAAATAATTGCACAAATAATCCGAATACATACATCTAAGCGCTATTTACACTCGCAATATTTCTAGCATATTTTTATAACAAATTGATATCCAATCTGGAAAGGCAGTCGCCCAATGCACCTGGTTGATCTAAAAATATTTCGACTTTTTAAGACCAAGAAATAATTTCTTTAAAAGATAGTAAACTAAAATCCCTTAATTAGATACTTTCTGCAAATGGACATTATTGTATTACTATGGACAGAGCAATTTGCAGAACTTATATGCAATTAAATCTCATTTTAACGATCAAAATGCTTTACCTCGCCACCAGCTTGATAAGCCAGAATAGGATCATCAACAGGCCGAGGCATCGCATGAATATCCCAAATCAATGCCTGACTATCACCACCTGAATCAAATTTAATAGAAAAAGCAAATAAGTAACAAAGATTAAAAAAAAGCTAGGAATAAATACGTATTCGCAATATTCAGGTAGTTTACCTGCTGTACAAATATGACATGAAGAATGTGGTGCCCAGGCCACGCCATTTACTCGCCCGCGATGATTGTCTAGTTTTGCGATAGGTGTGCAAGGCATGCGCACATCGAGAATTATCACCTTAATAGAAGCTAATTTAAACTAAATACTTATTTGCTCAATTTGGAATAGAATGAATTCCGTCATATTACGATTGCTTGCTTTCAATCATTGTTTTGATGTCACTTAAATCTCCTAATACAACCTATATTGTGAATATATAGCAAATTAATTAAACCTATCATAAACAGAATAAATTAAATAAGTTACAGCTATTATAAGCAGATAAATTATATTGGTAGTTATTAACATGCATATAACTGCCTACACGAAAAATGTGACGTGGAAAATGAATAAAACAAACCTCTGCAGAATCTTGAACAAATGTAGCAATATAATTGCAATCTTGCTTATTACATTCCAAGCGTAATAATGGAGCATGTGATGGTTCTTCGAACATAATTGTTGAGTGCTCAAGATGCCGTAAATCAAACATTCTTAGACTACCATCCGCTCCTGAAAATCTGATAGTGCTGAACACACGTATATTAATCTCGTATCACTTTCTGTTCGCATGCACACTTTAATATGTTAATATATTTCTGGAAACTATCCTGATTTACGAAGAGCTGTTCTAACATGAATATGAAAAAAACAAAATTCTCTCAAACAACATTTTTTATATATATGCCCTACCAAAAACTTGTACTATTTACCAAAAAACTTGTAAATAGAAGATGATATGCGTAAAAGTAACTGAAAAAACTTGCCAACACTAGCGAATATTTCACGACCGCTTGCCATCTTTGTAAAAGCAATATCAAATACTTCTTTATCATGAGCAATTAGTTGTGTCTTTACACTACCTTCCGTTGATCGTGCGACGCTGATCGCTTGACCGGTCTAAAGGGAAAAAAAATACCACTTTTCCTCCTTTACTTTGCATCTTTTATCCATCAATTTTTCATGGTAAATAAAATACAACTCAAGACTAAATCATATAAATTAACCTCAACTTGCCAAATGGTGCACGTTGTGTCGATACTTGAAGTGCCAATCAAGCTAAAATCTACGTCATTCCAATCAAATGATGTCAACGGTGCACAGTATTCACTGCTTCGATTCTGGAATGATTTAGAATCTGTTTTAGTCTCTAATACTGCATTGGAAAAGTTCACTAGTATTTTTAAGTACTAATCTCAATTTGAAACTCATTTGTAATTTCAAAACCGTTTTTAATACAAATTCCAAAGCATATGTTTTTCATATATTCGGAACATGACTAAGATGTTTGGTAAAAAGTTCATGTTACTTAAAGCATATGAAAAAATTAAGATTATTGACAGGAACGTTTGCGAAAAGACTTCTTTGCGGGATTTTCTTTGAAGCATCTCATTTGATTTAAATTGTCGAAGGAAATATGTTAATTGCAACTAAAAATAATTCATAGTTTCAACTGACAGTAATAATAAGACTCGAAAGGTGAAATGGCAAACGTTTAAGCATACGTTGTTAAGAAAAACTTCAATCTGTGCACCGTCAGCACCACCTACACGCCACAGCCGCAAATAATCCCCGGATGTAGCAATTAAATCTGGATATGTGCCTTTCTAAAAATTCTATATGCATATACATAAATTTGAAAAAATCTTGACACATGCCAGCATAATCATACAAAATATATACATGTTTTTTCAGCCCAAAAGTTTTCTACTAGAACGAATAAGAATTATTGAAATAACTTGTGCATCACAAATCCTATACTATCTGAATTAGCAAAAATTCTTTTTCTTGTATACACAGAAGAAACTGAAAGTGCTTAAAAACACACCTGATCTGGAATCCACATCACCTTTGTCGCTGGATATGGATGATCGAAGCTACCACAGTCGACAAATTCACCAATGTCTTCATCAAGCTTCACTATTGTAACCTATAATCAATAGGAAATACTTCTACAATTCCACTTGATTTTTGATACTCTAATGGATTCATAATAATGAAAGTAGCATTTTATATTGATGAGAATATACCATTCAGTTTAGTTTTTTCAATTCTATATGGCATAAATAAATGCAGCAGAAACATAACAAAGAATAACAAGTGTTCCAAATCGAAAAACAGCTAACTGATATTATTTACAAACAGGCTATCTTCTGCTTTTAATGTTGTATTATAGCATAAAATAGCACTTTCATCCCGACTTGAACTTAATTTCAACTAGTATTTACTATTTCAACACATATTTTACCTTTGTTACAAAGTCAAAATTTCCCATCTTTGGTTTCTTAACAAATTTACACAAGAACAGTAAAAAATAGAAGAAAGCCAAAATCACAAAAACCTTATTGTTGTATTCCTCAATGAAGCTAGCTAATGCCAAGCGGAACTTCTTTGATGGATCAAGATTCTGAGACCAGGCAGTGGAGTACAATGTATGCGGTGCTTCATATTTGTAAACCTCTTTGTGCTTAGGGTTTGAATTCGATACTCCACCTTCAACCGATAAATGCGATCATCATTTCTTATTGAATATAAATTTTTACATTTTGTCAACAAATACAGATATGACTTGTTGAGATATAGTTTCATACACGTTAATGATATGAATATAAAATATCACCAAATATGCAAGTATCATGTTAGACCTTAGAAATCCAGCTTACTGGGCTGATTGGATCCCATTTGAGCAATCCCGTTGTTCATAAGTTGTTGCATAACGTGAGACAAATGCTGAGTGATTGCCATCAAACTTAATACCCAAACTGTTAACAATCCTGCCTTATTACTGTCCTGCAATATAATGAACAATATAAAAAAACTTCAGGAGATTTGAAAGTAACACAGCTAAAACAGAACTGATAGATAGTGGTAAAGTTTCAACTTCTGATATTTGCTCAATTAACACAATATTAATATATTCATAGTTTACCAATGAATATTTGAAAATTCATAAAAATTACATAAACTAATTGGAATGAAAAATGAAGCTTAAACAACTCAATTAATTCAAATGACTTAAGTAACCATTCGAGTAATAAACAGATGGCGAGAAATCAATAAATGAAAAGCTTTTACTTCTTCATATAAATTATTGCAAATATTTCACAACCACAGAAGCATTTAAATTTAAAAACCTTGAAGTGTTAAGCACTGATGAATGAATATGTTATAATGAAAGCAAAGAAATCATGGATTTTATTAATTTTACAGTATACGCACCGCAAAAGGAGAATACATAATGCCTTTCACAATGAAGAACAAGACAGAAATATTAAATTCGCGAGAACTGCAAACAAAGCACTAAATCCAGAATTTTCAAACTTCTACTAATAGAGTGTTACTACCGTGATTCGTGGTTATTCTTAATTTATCCTACGCCACAAACATCAGCTTTCGAAGCGTGTAATCCGTTGTTAAATGGATGACATTCCACACGCCAATTTTTTAATTAGGAGAAAATTAACCATTGTTTCTCCCCTATGAATAGTAATTATAAACTACTGTAAATTAAATAGTATATATCAGAATAAGTGTTTAAGACATAACTTTATCAATTATTGAAAACTATATATAATGTATAATCTCAACAACAATGATTTACATTTATCATATTATAAAGGTGAACTGAAAGAGCAGAATGATCCAACAGCACCTATAAATTAAAAAATTGAAAAGAAATAAAAATAAAACTAATAACCATCAGGAATTCGAAGATTATTTATGCTTTCAGCAATATCATTTCCTTCTTTTTAATGAGTAATCCAAAAAAAGGCATCCTAAAAAATAAAGTCCAGAAATCAAATCGAACGGGAATATTACAGATTTCACCACCAGATGCTCAAAACATTTATGAGGAAGATATCATCAATACTTAAGAGAAAATCTATGACAGAGGAACAGAGATACCGATAAAAATTTTAAGTAACCCAAAAAATTAGCCTCTACTTCAAAATCGAGAAATTATTCAAACTCGAAGGATTTCCAAACACTTTCCAAAACAAATACAAATCCAATCTATCTGAGAAGCTGACCAATGCACTTGATTAACCTGAAAAAAGCAACTAATTTCAATGTAAATGACCATAAGGATGCAATTATCAGCACATAATGTTGAAATTAATTTTGGGCTGTATTAAGAAATTTTATATTGGGGGCGTTCTGGATATTCAAGAAAGCCGTCAAGTCGTTTTGACTACTATAATAAAATAAATTTTGAATACAAATAACCATGAATATAACGTCGTAAATTTTGCAAAATTCTTCTGGGAGAAGAAAAAAAATACATGTTGTTCGTTAGCCTTGAGGACGTTACTTCATAAACGAATATTTATAAAAAGCTTTCTTATGGTAATAAGATTTCCTAATATAATACTGAAAATTCTCCGAGTTTCATCAATAAGTAGATTAAGATCTCTTACGGATAGTAAACTATTTGCTTCTGCTAAAAACTCAACCTAAAAGAAATTAAAACATTAAAGATCGAAGGAAAAAATTGCTGCTATCAAAAGCAGTGTAAGGGATTAGTCAATTCAGTAACCAGTGCTTTAACATCTATTTATTGTATGCAGCAAAAATTACCTCTCCTTCAGCTTGATAGGCTAATATTGGATCTTCAACTGGTCTCGGCATTGGTGAAATGTCCCAAATTAAGGCTTGACGATCATCTCCTAAACAAAGCAAAGAATTTCTTGATGAACATACAGTTCGTAGAAATATCAAGGATATTCAACTTTTATACATTCAAATATTGTTAAAATTGAGAAAACAGAGAAACCATCCAAATATTTCGGCACCATCAATTTACAGCAGATATAGGATAAAGTTTAGAAAGAGATTCAAAAATTACTAACAATATTTAGATATTAAATGAAATTTAAGGCGGAAATTAATATATTTAAAATAAAATAACAATGTATCAAATAAGTAAAAAATTTAGAATATTGCTATCTTAAAATCTAAAACTTTATATTGATATATTAAAAAATAATATATTGATATATTACAATTAATATAATATATTAATATATATAATATATTTAAGATCTGTTAAAATTACCTGCTGTACATATGTGGCATGAAGAATGTGGAGCCCAAGCAACACCGTTTACGCAAGCACGATGATTATGAAGCCGGGCTAGAGGATTACAAGGCACCCTTATATCCACTATCACTACCTGCAAAATATACCACATACAAATGTCAATCAGAAATAATATTTGGAAACAATCCGTAACTGCTAATTGTACCAAATTCTTAACTGCTGATTAGGCTGACAGTTTGTGTGTCTGCACCTATTTAACTCCAGATCATTTTTCAGATATTGAAAGCTTCCACAAAATCTTCTTAATAAGCAACATGATAAGCAACATTAACTACCATCTTCTAGGCGATGATAAAATTCCGAAGTTCAGTTAAGTTAGATTATTTTAATCGCAAAGTTTAGCTTTTGAATGAAATAGATGAATAGACCAGAACAAACTGATTACCATACCTCAGTAGAATCCTGTGCAAAAGTAGCTAAGTAATGACTCTCCTGTTTGTTCCATGCTAGCCTCATCAATGGTGAACGCAAAGGGTCTTCATAAACTATCGTAGAGTGTTGTAAATTTCGTAGATCAAATAATCGAGCGCTTCCATCCGCACCTATTGCAAGCCTTTATGTAATATCTGAATTCATTAATGCTTAATTTGAAGTTTCTCCTTCAAAATATTCTCAAATCTGTACAGTAACAGATGTAGGCAGAAAATGTCGAAACTATTACTATTTTGTTCTGTTTTGTTAGCAACATAAGATGCAAGTTTCATTTTGTTCTGTTGCTATTAGCAACTAATAGCAACAGAACAAAATGCAAAATGAAACTTGCATCACAAAATATATGATTCCTTAACAATAAATGTCAAGGATGAGATTATTTTTGTTTAGCATTTAAAAACTTCTTTTTTAAAAATTTTAACCACATACCAACAGTAGCGAAATTATCCCGTCCGCGATTTATTCGCGAAAATTTGATATCATGCACTGGTTTATCATGAGCTATCAATTGCGTTTTGACACTGCCATTGGTTTTTTTGATCTGCGCAAGTGCCTGTCCCGTCTGAAAATAATTGTTATACAGAAGATCTTGCCGTCAAGTGCAAGTAAATAATATGTTGTCTGCAAATAAAAAGGATCAAGGTTATTTTTGAATTCATTTTTGCACACCAAATCCTTTAAGACTTTCCAAATAATCATATCAACTTAACTTTCACTGTAGTTCTCACATCTCAAGAGCTATAATCTCAAGAGATTCCACACAAACACCAATTCTATGTAACGGAATTTATTATAAAATATGAAACATAACTGAATTAAGTATTATGTTGAACAGCCCGATTAAGAAATTAAATTAAAAACAAATTTATATTGAAATAGTATCCTAAATTTTTTAAAGATACCTCAAGCTGCCAAATGGTGCAACTCATATCAATTGAAGAAGTACCAATTAGAGTTGGATCAATATCATTCCAATCAAAATTCGTTAATGGTCCAGAATAATTTGACGCTTGTTTCTGTAATTTTAATAATATAACTTCAAATATTTGCATTTCACTAAAATTGGCTATTAGTATTGATCAAATTAGTGACATAAGTGTTACTGAAAAGATGGTTAACACCACGACTACTCTAGACCCTGCTATCTCTAAGTAATTCCATGGTTGTAGACATTGATAAGTTACCAATAAGGTCAACTAGTCAGAGATACCATTAATGTAAGAACATACATTATTTAAGATGCATTCCATCATTACAGAATTTGACTCTACTCGATAAATTTTCAAGCATTCTCCACTGGTTGCCAATAGATCAGGATAAGAATCCATCTGCAACAATATAATATGCAATGTGAGACCAATGATGAGAACTATAAGTCTACTTCGACAAATCAAATCTGCAAAAATATTAAGTTTAAACGGACCATATCTGGAATCCATTGAATACAGTTTGGAGGAAATGTATGTTCGAATGAAAGTCTCTCCACAAGCTCACCTTGTTGCTCATCCAATTGTATGATTGATACCTATGGATAAACTAGAAATGAAAACAAATACTGAAAAATTAAGAGAAATATAAACACTTGCATAAAAATAAGTTAGCTGTTTTAAGAAGAAAAATTCGGAGAAAATGATACAAAAGAAGATAACAAAACAAATTTAACAAGTTACATTTCAAGTTTATAAGTACTAAACTCTTGCGAAATCTAATTAGAATCTGAGCAAATATGATTAATTTTACAAGTCAATTCTTAGGTTTTCTTTTTAAGCATGTCAATCTATGTTTTGCTAAGCAGAAAAATGTATAAATAAATACTTCACTAGTTCATTTGAAATATAAAAATGAGGTATTAAAGTTAGAAAAAATACTTGCTATTAATGAATTTCTTTTTACATATGCTGCACTATAACATCCATAATGTTAAATAGATACATCTTTTATTTTTGCTGCTACTTTTTTTAAAGATAATAAGAATTATTATAATTATTCTATCTTTCCCACTATCTTCTTTTATTGCATTGATAATTTCTTACTGCTTCCTGCGTTTTTTCTTATCACTGTAAACACTTGAGACTATCTTTCATATAGTGTGTTAGATATTTTATGTCGGAAATTTCAACATTTCATTCCTAGCATCTTCAACAAAAAAATTAATTCAAAAAAGGATTCCCCTTATCTATCTCCTCTATTTTCGAATTTCACTATCTTCATT